CACCCAGCTCGTCCACAGAAATCCCACCCAGCTCGTCCACAGAAATCCTACAGTACTGAGTGACTTCTACCTCCAAGACAAAATTCACCATTTCCTTTCTGTGCCAGGGCCCGGGGGTGAGAGTTGTTCAGCTCACACCTAGCCCCGCAACCACTGCTGGAAGAGAACTCTTCCAGTCTGGGGCACTCACTGTCCAAGGCCTAAAGCAGAGCACAAAAGCAGCAGAACTTGGCCAGTAATGAATGGGGTTTGCAGAGAACCTCAGCTGCCCTCCTTCAGGTCCCAGAGAAAGCATACATTGAATGGAATCCCAGGCTAACAGAGCCTCAGAGCTGGAAGAGACCTCTGAAACCACGTGGTCCAACCACCTCATTTTATAGATGAAGAAACTGAGGCTCACAGGGTTCAATGACTCACCCGAGGTCACATACCTTGGTATGGCAAGTGGCAGAGCTGGGTTTTGGACCCAGGACCTCTCACTGCAGAGACAAGATTTTTTCCTATGCCAAGGTCATGGAAAACCAGAGAAACCTGTCTGTCTCAGAGTCATGCTAGTCTGAGAGTCAGGACAAGGTGACAACGCTTTATCTTTTAACTAAGGGCTGTGGCCTTCGGGAAACCCACTTCCTGAGTGGGCAGGCATCCACCCTACCAAGAGCCAGAAGGGGAGGGAGGGCCTTAGGACTCACCCAAGCTCTAGGCTGGGGGCAACCAGGAACAGTTCTTATGTGTAGCCAGCCCCACGGGTTACGGTGGGACAAAACCCCATCTCTCTCAGGGCCAGAGTAGGAATAAGAAGATAGAAGTCATCAAGAGTTTGTCCCCAAGCCCAGGACCACCCGAGTGAAAGGAGAGGGAAGCATTCCCTGACTCCGCCTACAAACCAAGCCAGGTTGGGTATCCAGAAGAGCCAAGATCCCCTTCTCCAGCCCCAGGGAGTTGGCCAAGACAAGGCAAAGGCTGATGAGGCAGGGTAGGGGCGGGGGGGGGGGGGGGGGGGGCGGGCCTCAGCCTCACTCCCATGCTGTCACCCCCTGCTCCCTCTGGGCATTTCCAGGGAGGAGTGACCACCCTGCAGGCCAAGGGAAACCAGAGAGGAGCAGTGGTCTGGAGCCTCTCTAAATCCAGGCAATCAATGCCTTGGGCTGAAAATAGTCAGAATTATAGAATTTTTTTATTTGGAAAAGACCTCAGTAGCCATGGAGTCTTACCCAAACCCAAAAGGAATCACCATTATAGTATACTGTACAAGGAGTCAACCAGCCACTGTCTGAAGACTTCCAAGATCTCTACACAAATTCCTCTGCTTGGCATTTAAAGCCCTTCACAACCTGGACTCAACTTACCTTTCCTGCTTTATGAGCCAGCACCCCCACCCTCCTCCCATGCACAGCCATACAATTCTGTCTCCTGTGTCTGGGCTCCCTGGCTGTCCTCGATGCTTAGCACACCCTCCTTCTTCACCCCGGCATCTTTAAATACTTAGAAATATCACCTCCTACACAGCCCCTCAAATGCTAGCACTTCTCTCCCCAAAATTACCTTATGTTTATTTTGTAAATATTTTTATACGTACAGGGTGTCTCCCTCTAATAGAACATAAATTCCTTGAAGACAAATACCTTGGTATCAATGTGCCTTCTTACCCCCCAGTGCCTAGCACATAATCAATAAATGCTCACTGATGGGTTAAGAGGATTGGGAATATATTAATGCACAGCCACAGTCTGCACTCATACCTCTGACCAGACTCTGGTGAGCCATCTCCAGCCAAGAGGGAGAAAGGGACTCTCTTTGCTTGGCTGTGGGTGGAGGATCCAGTCCTGCCCCTCTGTGCCCTGGTTGCTTGCCCTTTACCACTGTGACAGGGTGCATGAGGAGGCCTCTGGAGAGAGCCACCCCTGGCTCTGCTCCCCCTCCCCCTTCCCTGAACAGAGCCTGCTGTGTGCTCCCGAGCTGGCATGGCTCCCTCTGGCCTCTCAGAGCAAACACTCAGCCCAAACCTCAGGGCACTGCCAGGGCCACAAAGCCCCCCTTTTACCCTATGGTCAAAAAATAGAAACAATTGATCTAGGGAGCTGCCCCCCAAAACACCCTGGCCCAGCTGCTTTTAACCCCCGACATGACCTCTCGATCCCCAGGTCTGAATAAGGCCCCACCTTCCCACCTATTGAACAAACTGAGGGGCTAAGAATCACCCCTACCCCAGAAAGAAGTAAAGGGTTCTTTCCCTTACCCAGTGGGTGCCAGTAAAGACCTGAGGCCCTGGCAATCTGGCTCCCCAGCTGGACAAACCTCAGCAGGGCATGGAAGTGCCTCACTGTTTAGCTGGCTGAAAGCCAAGGGGCATGGGTGAAGCTGGCATGAAACTCCCTGACCCCACCATGGAAGCTCAGGGTATTACTTGAATCTTCGGCAGGACCTGACCCGATGTGGGATGGAAGGCTCAGTAGGGAAGCTGAGCCGGAGCCTTGAGGGCTCTGCCCTTTGACGACCCTGGCCCTGAGAAGGTCCAGCTGCCTTGCCAATGTGGCAATCCGAGACTCACTCTGCAGTCTTGAGTAAGAAATAAGACTGGAAGGGCTTCTCCTCCCTACAGTTTGGGGGGGAGGGGGGTGCTGCTTGCCCAGTCTGAGTTGGGGATGGCTGCCGTGATTGGGATCCAGCCCCAGGCCTTCTAGGCTTTTGGGGTAGGGGTGGGTGGCCCACAGCACAGCCAGGCTTGCCTTCCTAAGGCCGGTGAGGTGGTGACAAGCAAGCCCCAGCATGCAAACAACTAGGAGAGGTGGCAGCACAGAATGGGAGGGAGGGGGGTAAAAGGCTTTTGGGGAATGAGGGAAGGGGAGGAGAAAGGGCCCAGGGAGGGGCAAAACAAAGGGACGCTTCAGGAAACCCAACCTGCCCGCCGCCAGCAAGGCTGGCTCAGTGACGCACTCAGGAGGCCAGAGGGGCAGCCCGTACCCAGGCCCCTGCTCTGCCCACACCCCCTCCTCCCCGGGCATCGGCCCGCCGTCCATGCCTCAGAGCCCACGCGGAATGGGGACGGGGCCTGGCCAACAGGCTCTCACGGCGCTGGCAAAACTTGCTGAACTTGGTTGGGGTGGCCAGGGGGATGGGAGGGGCCGGGCCCTGGAAGGAGGGCTCACACCTGAGGGTGTGCTCCTGGGGGAAGGGGGCGTCGGGCTCCTCCATCTGGAGTCCAAGAGGGGTCCCCAGCCTCCGCCCCCCACTCCCTGCGCACCAGATGCTCAGCGCCCGGCTGAGCGGGCGGGGTGGTGCGTGATGGGGCACAGCAGCCCCCGCCCCCGCTGGGGGGGGCATCCAGGCCCCTTCCCCCCAGGCCCGACCTCCAATGGCTTCTCGGGGTCCCCAGCCTGGGCTGCGCTCTTTCCCCCGCCCCCACCGCCGGCCCCTCGGCTGCCCAGCCGGCCGGTGGCTCCGGCTCCCGCCCCCCGCCCTCCACGTCGGGCGTGGTGGCCGGGGGCTCCCGGGGGCGGGAGTTAGATTGGGAGGCAAACTTCTGGGGCCGGGTCTGGGGGGCGGCGGCGGGGGGGGGGGGAGAAGGGCGGCCCGCTAGCTCGGCTTCTCCCGCCGCCCGCCCGCCGCAGTCCGCCCTGCCCAGCCCAGCCCTCCCCAGTGCCGCGCCTGGCCGGCGGGCCGGGCAGCCCGGAGCCGAACCGGGCCGGGCCGCGCCGCGCTGCCCTCGCCGCCCTCACCGTGTCCCTGGGCTCGGGGGGCGGCAGGAGGTGGGGGAGGGGGTCCGCCGAGGCTCCCGGGCCGTGTCCTGCTCCTGCTCCTGCTCCAGCCGGTGCCGCTGCCTCCCGGAGCGCGGGGCCCTCCCCCCGGGAAAGCCCAGCCCACCGGCCCCGCCCCCGCCGCCGCCGCAGCAGCCCGACCTGGCGAGGGCCAGCGGGCCCCGGAGCCAAGGCCCCTGGGCTGGGGCGCGAAGGCAGCGAGCAGCCCCAGAGCCGAGCGCCCTGGCGGACCCTGGGGATGAGGGGGGAGGGCTCTGGGGGCCCCTGAGCAGGGTCAGAGTCCTCGCGGTCAGCAGAGAGCCTGGCTGCCCGGCTGAGATTTCAGGATGGCCCTTGCCAATAGCGGACCGGAGTCAGGTGGAAGCTCGGTGTGACCCCGGCACGGCCCTGCTGGGGGGTGGGGGGCAGCGGAGGCGGGCCGGGGGGAGTCAGGCCGACTTGCCTGTCCTAACCGCAGGACAGCCGGGAGCAGGGGGAGCAGGGGGAGCAGGGGGAGCGGTCAGTCCGAGAGGCTCGGGACGCTTGCACTCCCTGGGCTTGCGTGGCTTGATTTCATTCCAGAGGCATTCCGAATTCTCTGGAGCCCCGGCACCCCGCTTGCCTCTGCTAGCATCCAGTCTTGCACCTCTCCAATTCTACCCCTTCCCAGGCACCCCTTCTTCTCTCAGTCCCTAAGGAGGTTTTTCATAGCTCGGCCTGCTATTTATAGTCCCTGAACTGATCCAGGAATGTTCAGACGCTGAGCTGTTCCCCACCTGCTCAGCACCCACCCACCCCCACCGGGGCCCAGGCTGTTCCCTCCTGAGTTCCCTCCAGAGACAAGGTGGTTTCCCTTTCTTACGTGAACTGGTTGGCATTAACCGAACTGCCAGGCAAGTAGGGAGCTTAGTCCCAGGTTACTCTGGATCTGGTAGGGTTTAGTCCTGTCTGTCTTGGTACGGTGCACAGGGACTGGTAAACGAGGCCTTGCCACCCCCACCCTCCAACCTTAGTCATCCTTTCCAAAGTAGTCACAGATTCAGAGTTCACAGAAGATTCTCGACCTGCAGTATGGGAACCCTATTATCTCGCCGCCGAAGAGCGTGCCTCCAGGGGAATCAGAGCACCGATTCCTGAGAAGAGAAGGGGACAAAATATTCTCTCTCTTGCACGTACACGATTTATTTTTCTTCTCTCGCCATAGCGTGTGTGAGGGGTGGAGTAAAGGGGAGAGGGGGTGTAGATTTAAAAATAGCAAAATTATGTTGCTTCTAAATGCATGAGTAGAGAGCTGTTCATGCTTTATGAAAAGCTATGCCGGTGATTGTGTGCATGAACTGAAAAAGGGACAGAAGGCAGATGGGAGATACTTTGAGTGACAGAGATTCTAAGGCATTACTTGTGTGCTAATCTGAGAAGGCCGGGAAGCAACCTACCACCCCCAGTTTCTGCTTTCATACCATAGCAGAGTTTTGCAAATAATCCCTGAACTAGATGACTCCTAGGCTCATTTCTGACATGCAGGGCGTGTACCCAGGAGAATGTGGGTTATAATCCCAGTTTCAACACCCACTCATTGTGGGACCTTCTCTTAGCACCTCACTTTGCCGCATCCCAATAAAACTTGATAAGCAATCTGATCATTCTATCAGAGGGTTATTTGCCTTTGCTAATTACATCGTAAAGCAACTGCAAATTGTCTATGAGAGGTGTTGTAGAAATCACAGTAACAATACCTGGGTTTGTATTATATTTTTCATTTGTTCTCAACCCACCGATTGCCTGGAGGCCTTTGGGCACCTGGACAGAAAATGTAAAAACAGAAGGATGAAATTAATTACATGAGTAGCCCATTAAAACCTCATTTTTAAAAAAAAGCCACCAGGGCTCTAAAAATTTAGAGATGCTAAACCCAAAAATAGGCCCTTGAAATGTAGCAAATGGGTTACCTGCAAGACCAGGAGGAAAAGCATTTTCCGGGTTCCTGAGGGGAAAACATTTGATTTCCCTGGGGTTCAAATCTGGCAACTAAAAGCAGGCATGTTCCACCTGATTTTAATTGCCTTTGAGGTGCTGTGAGCTCAAAGCACAGAGGGCTGCTTCAAAGCAAATCCCCAGCTAGTACTGCCTAGATAGCCCAGAAGTTCTGTGCTCCTGAAGGCCAATGACCGCAGGCACACTATTTTTACCAGAAATGGCAGGAACTCAGGGGACGTTGGGGCCACTGGCCTGGACTCAGGAAGACTCATATTTCTGACTTTAAATCGGGCCTCAGACACTTAGTAGCTCTATTAACCCTGTCTGCCTCAGTTTTCTTGTCTGTAAAGTGAACTGGACAAGGAAATGGCAAACATTTCAGTATCTTTGCCAAGAAAACTCCAAATGGGGTCATGAAGAGTCAGACACGACTGAAAACAACTTAACAAAAATACCACCACCAACAAGAAAACTTTACTTCCTGAGGACCAAACATCTTAATAATCTAACTTGAAGTCAGTGCAGGCTGGAGTGACAGGGGCAGGCTTTAGAAATGTGGCCTGTTCAATGTACTGAATAGCTGATTGGTTAAAGCCTCCACTGTTCTAGAACATACACACATACAGCTTTCCCTTGGACAAGTCACTTAACCTCCAGCTGTCCCAGTTTGGTTGTCTGAGGGAGGAAGCACCAGTGTTTCTCACCATGGCATGTAGGATAGGTCATTAAGGGGGGCAGGTAGGTGGCACAGTAGATAGAGCACCAGCCCTGGATTCAGGAGGACCTGAGTTCAAATCCAGCCTCAGACACATAACACCTACTAGCTGTGTGACCCTGGGCAAGTCACTTAACCCCCACTGCCCAACCAAAAAAAAAAAAAAAAGATAGGTCATTAAGGGAAGTGCTTATGTTTAGCAAAATCACAGACAACCCCACATGGGAAAAATGGTCTGAAAATCATTGAAACGTCTACGGAAGAACCTATTTTGTGGTTAAAATGACTTGAGGAATGACAGCTGAATGTCATTAGAAGTGGAGGACAAAGCAGGGTTCTGAGTCCAGCTTTCTTGGGACAATGGTCTCTGGTTTTGAACGTGTCCACGATGAACGATTTAGAAAGTGCTGCAGTATCTGCAGACATCACACGTCCGTGGTCCAGTCCAGGTGTTAGCTTCATGAGCACCAAAGGAGTGTTCAGGAAGCCTTCAGTGGTTACAAGCAGAAGCTCCAACCTATGGCAAGTCCTAAAACAGAGAATTCTCTGGCTTATTTGGGATATTCCCTGTAAGTTTAAGACCTCCGAATGCAGGCCTTACTGTTGGAAGAGAGGAAGGAATGGGAATACTAAATCATGCTTAGAGATCAGGAAGTGCATTAGCCCCGTAGGGAAAGAAAGTACAATCATTTGTCAGCGCTGGCCTGTGGAGTTCTCCACGCCCATGCCCACCCTGCTGCCATCCTCCCAGGGCCCATGTTCCAAAACCTGGGAGTGTGAGCTCTGGAGACTGAAATGGGGTTTGGTATGTTGGCAGACAGTCAGGCAGCGACCATAATAACAGCTTACATCTGTCTAGTGCTTTCAAAAAAGTGTTTTATACATATTATACCATGGACGAATTAATGAACAAAAAGGCATTTATTAAGTGCTTACTATGTGCCGAGCACTGGGCATACAAACACAGCTAGGACACTATTAATTTAAATAAGAAATCCCCCTTGAATAATCTCTCATGTAAAATACAGTAATTGGTTCCATCCCAATAGAATCTCCAGTGTGAAATTGAACAATGCCACTTCTTCAAGGGAACTCATTACTGGCACTCATTGGAACTTAGGTTAATCAATTGCAGACAGTCTCTTCCCTCAAGGAGTTTATAGTCTGATGATTATTCTTCTTCATCCAAGGCAGGCCCACAAGCTGTGGGTGTCCCTTAAGGTTTGAACTGGGCCCTCTTCTCTTTTCTGTCTATACCCAGGGTTCTTAACCTGCTGTGTGTCATAGACTTCTTTGTCAATCTAGTTGCTGTTGTTTGCTCTTTGTCCCAAAAAAGGACCATGACATTAGAGAGGTGTTGCTATGACATGCAAGTGAATTGGATTTAAGTGAGGCAGGACCGTGCAAAGACACCAGCCTTACTTTCTAGTCCTTCGGAGTCATTTGAGTCCAATGGCCAGAGAGAGATCAGGACAACTGGAGATGGCCCTGGATCTGTATATTGGGAACATGAAAAGGGAAGGCAGGGTTTACCACAATCTAGTGAACCCCTTCTCATGGATAATGGAACTATGAGCCCCTTTTCAGGATAATGTTTTTAAATGCATAAAGCAAAAATATAAAGGATTTCAGAGGAAACCAAATTATATCGTGCAGTGAGAGTATCTCTGTGTGATCCCTGGATGTTTCTTAAACTCTATTTAGTCATTTGGGGCCCATCTTGCAACTCTGACACAACTTTAATTTGCCGTGGAAATTTACTAGCTGGCTTGCTGAATCCCCCATACCTTGACCACTCCTCACTGTATATATTCTGATTAGCTACCATCTTCTACTCTGTTCCTTGGCATAAGGCCATCATCACTGTCAAGACAATCCAAAGTCAGAACACCAGGCAGTCTTGTACCTACCCTGTATCCCGAGATAAGACCTATCGCCATTTAGACGCTCCGGGGAAACACCCTAGGCTCAGAGGCAGAGAGGGAACACCCTCCCCCATTCAGACAGTTGGGGCAATGCCCTAGAAAAACCCTACCAACCTTAGTCTAACCAATATTGTGCCCTCCCCCAACCCTAAACTTGCTCTTACTTCCATCCCTTTCAGAATCCTGACAATTGTGCCAATCATATTGCTGGAGGACTTAGACCTTATTTGGACCACAAGAGGTAAGGAGTTCTCTCCCACTGGGGTCCAGTGTACCTGAAGTCCCGTCCTGTCCCTGGTCAGTGGTTTGTGAATCTAAGATTCCCTGTGGCTGGAGCATGAGTCTCAGGCTCTGGCCCTTGTTCTCCTCAGTGAGGGCAGGAAATCCTGCCTAAGAAGCTGTGGTTACCAGCACTAATGGATGGAAGAGGATAGAGGAAACTCTCCCACTGAAATATGAGGTTCCCCAGACAAGACCTTGCCTTTGGATCCTGAATCACGGTACCCTACTTCTCAGGATATCAGGGTGGCCACCTGGCTGTGTAGTCCCGAGTTTGAGCAACAGTTTATAAGCCAAGAGGAAATAGAGGTGAGGGATTCCCTAGTGCTGAAGCATGCATTTCAGATACCTAGCCCTTGCTTTCTCTGTAGAAGATGGGGTGGCCATGGAGATGCCTGCCCAATTCTGTCTACAGAAATGCAGTTGCCAGGAGTCTTGGTTATAACTTTGGTCATCAGCTAATGAACTAATAAAGTAAGATATTAGTGGGTGTGGCTTGTTACCCATCCAGCTGGCTCACTTGGATTGTCAAGAATGGACAATTCCAAGAGTCCTTAACAGGAAGCTTTATCAGAAGGCCGTTGACATGTATCAGCACCAGTAGTCAGTGAGTAGGCTGCAATGGTCTAGCGATAAGTGGCACAAAACCCAGGGAAAGTCCTGAACAGGGGGGTTAGGTGATTCCTGTGGGATGGAAGAATTGCTCTCTGGGCATCAGCCGAGAGTTGGAAAAAACCAAAAAGTCTAGGGACCATCAATGATTACTCCATTGGCTAAGGTTTTGAGTGGAGTTTGAGGGGCATTCCCCTCAACCATCTGGATGGGGATAGGCTATTCTTTCTCTGCCCCTAACTGAGGATGGGGTGTTCCCCCTGAGTATCTAAGTGGTGGTAGGTTTTATCTCTAAATGCAGGGCAGATACAGGACTGCCCAATGTTCTGACTTTGGACCATCTTGACACTGATAATGGCCTTATACCAAGGAAAAGGGTAAATGACGGTAACTAATCAGAATATACAATGAGGGGAATTCAGCAAGTCAGCTAGCAAATTTTCACAGCAAATTAAAATGTCATCACGAGTCAGAATTACAAGATGAGCCCCAAATGACAACATGCAAAGGATCACACAGCAATCTC